TGAATAACTACATATTTTTTAATGGCACTTCTTCTGCATTAACAACGATGGATTCCGAAAGGCAACATGAAATTTTATGATCTCAAACGTTGAGATTTAAAAAAACGTATCTGTGTTTTTATGTATTTTTTTTCTTTTTTTAATTTTTCTTTTCATGATATACAAAAAAACAAACGATAATTGAGTATTAAAAATATCTAGAACTTGAATAATCAATTTTAAAACATACTATGTATATTTGTTGATAATTATGAAAGATGCCGCAGTATTATTAAACCATTTTTTATATAACATTATGGTAAAAGTATTATATATTTCGCTTATTTTCAATATAAATCGATATTCGCGGGAAAAATATGATTAGCGTAGACGATCGGTAATATAGGAAATGCTATTACCAACGCGACCTTGCAAGAAAAAAAAACAATTTGCAATAAAAACGAAATGACTTCTATTCGAACATAAATCGTTGAATAGATTAAAATCCTATTTTAAAAAAGAAGAAAACAAAAATAATGTATATACGATGGAATCGTTTATAAAATCGATCACATTGCATTTTTCTAACGGACATTTTTTTTTTTTATATAAACACAGTTTTAATTAAATTGAAATGAATTATTATTTATGAGACAAAAGGTATGAGAAATGATCGTCACGGTTAAGAGCCAACCTCGATCCTTTTCATTGTTAACAAGATTATGAACGCGTGCTCCTGAATATATATATATATATATAATTGCAACCGATCATTATTATTCAATTTTAACGGCAATCGCACGATATAGTTCTCCTAGTTGTGGCTTCCGCACAAGTTGTTAACGAAACAGTTACGCTATTCTAGCTTCGGGGGGAAAGAACGATTCTGATGATGAAGAAGAAGTAAAAGAATAATAGTAGTAGTAGTAGTAGTAATAGTATTTAGTATTAGTAATAGTGCACCTTCTCTAGGTGCGTGTTACGGTAGATTTAACGCTCGATTGTAATAGATTCTATTTTACTATTTTACAACGAGTCGTTTAAAATGATCCTTGAACAATTTAAAAACGTTTAGCTTGACGAACAAACGATTGATGATGGGGGTTTGATGGTAGGATACGCTTAGATATTTTTGATCTATATACTTGTCAAGGTATGATCGGTTTGATTTATAAGAAAAAAAAAAAATTAATGGTTCGAGTTTCATGATTCGATTCGATTCGTTTCGATTCGTTTCGATGCGATTCGATTCGATTCGATTCGATTTATCATCGTGAACTTACGGTATCGATTTTCGTTACGCTTCGAACGAATGCTCGTCCCCGAAATCCTTCGATCTGAGTATTATGTTTCTGCTTTTTTCTTGTTTTTTCATATAATTAGTATTTTTATATAAGAAAATCTATATTTAATTTTATATGATAGAACATTTAAAAGAAGAAATTTAAATAAATCCAACATTATAGCTGATTGAATTTAACTTTTTATTAACTGTCAAGTAATAATATCGATGACGAATTTGCATTATCGATTTCATTTCAAAACTCTACGGATACGAAAGAAAAAGAAGAAAAAGTGGTAAATCGAGTGAAAATGAGTTAATAAAAAAGAATATTTATGTTGTAGTATTACTGTTACTATTATACTACTACTACTACTACTATCATATTGGCAATAGTTTAATCAGACTGGAACGGAATTATGGTAACGAAGTTGCGCTTCTACGAGTAACCTCTATACCAAGGAATTATTACGTGCAAATGTAGAAAGAAAAATAGAAAAAATTACCCCTCATCCTCCATACGTAATAGTAAAGCTCATACCGTGAATAAAGAAATATTTCTTGTAACGAAGAAATGTATTACCCCTTCCAAGTAATGTGATTTACTATATATTTATTTGACAATTTCTCTTTGAAATAAATTTCATAATTAATCTTGTTCAAAATCATATAATTAACATTTATAGATTATAAAAGAATTTCAAATATAACATGGTACAAATTTGAAACGTGAAAAATGTGAACGGATAAAAAAGATTATTTTATCGTTCGATACACATTTGACGAGCGTCTTGTAATCGCTATCGTATTTCTAACGAATCGATAAGCAATTTTAATTGCAAAACGTAATCGAAACTCGTTTTAAATTCGTTCTCGAGAGTGACAAGTTTGGATACTTGATTTTACCAAAAAAGAAACATTCGAAAGTAAACAAGAGATGTGTAATAGTAACTTAATTTAACGAATCGAACGTTAAGTAAATAAATTCAATCGAAACGAGTAATGCAAATGAATGACATGCGTTATTTATTTATTCTTCGTTCGTTCATTTGTACGGCCCAACCCTGATCGATCTAACGATACTTTTACGCTCCTTTTCCTGTTCCCAGCGGATTTGAAAGGGCATACGGGCAAATCACTTCAAAAGAGCATTTTACATTCGAATCTACGTAGAAATTCCATTCTATATGAGTAAAATAAAATATTTTTTTATACGATATTTATGCAATAAATAACCTTCTTTTTAATTGTTAAACATCATCTTTTGTGTGTCATACAAATGATTTAATATATAAAAAGGGTGTTTCAAATTCACAGACTTGTCACGTTAGATTATTAAAATCTGTTGAGAGGCAGTAAAAAGAGGAGATCTCTTTGATAGTATTGAACAAGTGTGAGAGTTTATACGTAGAGAAGTTACTCGAACCTGTCAAATGAAGAATAAAAAAGCACATTTAATTAAATAAATGAAAGAAATCAATGCGTCCACTTTAAGTCCACTTTATGATATTCTCTGATTTTTTTTTTATGAATTTGAATCAAATGAATAATATTCTTTTCAAGTGTTATTATAAAAGATATTTACTCGGTGCTTCATTTTTTTATCTATCTTTTATCAGCTGCCAAAAGATGAATACTGTTATAAAGTTTTGAAAGATAATTAAGTTTTATTCCAATAAATATACTTACGTTTTTATTTGCATACATCTTATCTTGTTTGGTTGCAGAATCTACCCTTTGAAAAAAGATTTTATATATTATTCTGATTAAATTAAATAACCAAAAAATTGAGAGAAACCAATCTATTAAAAGATTCTCAACTTTTATTTCCTGAATTTAACCGAATTCGCTTTCGAACGACTCAAACGTTAGTAATACAAAAATTAATAATTTTCTAAAAAACTAAATAAAACATTTATTCGATTAGAATTTACAATTCAATGTTAATATAATAATTTATATATTTAAAATAATTTTTCAATGCGCCAAACTTGTAAGCATTGTACACATATATATATATACGTCATATATATTATAAATTATTTGAAAGAGAATCACTCTTCGTCTCTGACAATGAGATACAGTTTTAACGTTAACGACAAATTTTCAGATTAACTCGTGAATCGCATGATAGACAAATTTTCTTTACAATCTGTTGAAATAAACGTCGCGTCATTTGGTGGAAAACGGTTCTCTTATAACGTGTACCGTTTGTCCATCGATGGAGAAGGATATATACTATATTTTGACTATTTAATGCGAATGAAATTACACGAAGGAGTTCGATGACGTGCTACTCGAGTTAACATGCTCAAGTGGGTACATTACTCGCCGTTACCAAAAAATCATACTACCGTGACGACGTCGTTGAAGAATGACGAAAAGGATGATAGATCGTCGTCGACGAAAGAACGGGAAAATGAAAACGTTCATTCAAATATTTTATCGCGTTCGATGAAATCACAAACGATGGAAGATAATGAATTATCGGAATGCACTGTCAAATATTTAGGGGTAAGAAGTTATTATAAAAAGAAGAAAAAGAAAAAAAAAAAAGAGAAAAGATAAAGATTTGATTTAAAACAAAATAATTGATAGTTATTTGCTAAGGAGGTCTTTTTCTTTTTTTATTTATTTTTTTCTTTTTTAACGTAAGAGAATAAGAAATATTTGATAAATCCCACACTGCGTTTTGTAAGAAATCATTCACAAGTGAAATAGAAAAGAATACAAAAATCGGTAAAAGGATAAAGGACACTAATTTCTTTTCTTTCATTTTTGAATTAAATACTAATGGATATATATTGAAGAACAATGTGTATATTAATGGAAAATAAAAATTAATTATAAAACAAAAACGCATGCGAAAAGGAATACTTTAGATACTTTCTTCATTTATTTTGTGAATTATTTTATACGTATTGTAATATGAAAAATATTACAATTATAAGCTACCACAAATATGTCTCTGATTTTATAATAAATCGTATAATTTTATTAAGCAAAAAAAAAAAATAGAATAATAATAATTAACGACAAAATATCAGTTCGGATAAAACGAGTTCTCGAAACGAGTCGCGTAACGGTGTAATCGAATAAATGACGGTAAATTGATGTCGAGGTACAATGAAACGATGTGGCAATTCATAGAAAACAATTTAACTGGAGAAGCTTCGATCACGTATAAAGTTGGGCGTAAGCCAAACGTCACGTTACTGCACATCCTCTTGCATCATACGAGAATTTCAATGTATATAAAGCCTCTTTCTACGCAAATTGCTTTAGAAACGTACGAATGATGTTTTATAGAATGAACGTTATTATATAGAGTGTTCTAAAAGTTTGAAAAGTATTACCGACAATGAGATGCAAATAGATGAAAAAAAAAACTACATATATTATATTCTTGTTTCCGAAAAAATATACTTTATTTAATTAAAAAGATTAAATTAAAATTAAATTAAATAGAAATAAAAAATTATTTATAAATCGGCATTAACTATCCTGATAATCCTGATAATTAGTATTCTTTTTTGTTTTATAAAACTTAATAACCAAATTGTTACAAATATATCTTATATTATGTGTTAAACTATCATAAATCTTGACTACGTATTTACTACAAATGTATATTATTGACAAATTTATTCTATACCTATGTGCTATAATTTTGTTTCTGCCTACAAGTATATTAACGTAACATTTTGTTAATTTTTGCATTGTCTTTTTTTTTTTTTAGGGGTCCGATCCAAGGGTCGCGACATGCAGAGGAAAGTTGCAGAATAAACGAAGCAAGTTAAATCAAGAGATCAATAAGGAACTTCGATTACGCGCAGGTGCAGAAAATCTTTTCAAGTGAGTTAACGATATTTAAAAAAAAAAAAAAGAAAAAAAAAAGAAAAAAAAAAAAAGAAAGAAAAAAGAAAAATTTCCTTTATATTGATCATGACTATCGTATGACTAATTTATGAAATTTGTAATACGTTATTACAGGGCAACGACAAATAGGAAACTCAAAGAAACCGTAGCTTTGGAATTGAGCTTCGTTAATTCAAACTTACAATTGCTGAAAGAACAGTTGGCTGAACTTAATAGCTCGGTTGAGCTCTATCAAAATGTCGACGGGTTAGTTTTTCCTATTATTTGTCATTTCTTTTCCTTGTTTTCTTTTAACTATATTTGAAAATATTGTTTCTACATACATAATAATAATAATAAAATAATCATTACACGTTTGCAGAGAGGATCCTGTAATGCCAATGATACCTCTGGGTTTAAAGGAAACCAAGGATATAGATTTTCGTGATCCGTTCAAAGTAAGTATCTAACATAATATGATCTTAATTTAATGGTAAAACACTAATTAGTATCTATAATTATGATATTGAATTAAAAATGTGAAACTATTAATTTTTATGATATATTTGATATCACAATTATTTATATTATTAAAACAAAAAGAAAATGAATTTTTCTTCAATTTTGTTTACTGTAATAATTAACGACAAATTGAATAATATTTTGTCATTATTCGAGCGGAGGGACATCGGGATTATCAATAAAATTCTCAGACGTAATTTTTTCCTTGATTCGATCAGCCGTTAACTTTCTATTAACTTTCGTTGTTCTCGAATTAAGAAATATTTTGGAAAAGTCAAGTTCGTCGTTCCTCGGTGGCCCAATCTCGAGAAATTCTCTCGTAGATGTGTATGCACGATTCTTGATACTGATGACAGCATTACTACCTTTACTCGTAGGTTTATTATTTTTTGTTGTATTTGAGGTAAACGTTTGATGTATCATCATCATCATGGGATTTAAACGAGGCATCGTTATAACCAAACTACCAGTCGTTACATTTCGTTTTGCGTTACTCTTATCGACGAGAATCTCGCATGGTAGAGTTAGTTGCAAAATTTTACCCTTTATCGTCACTCTCACGTAAGTTGGTTGAATGTCGACATCGATGTACGAGGTATCGAGATATCTGCAATTTTTCAAATAACAAAATTATCTTGTAATTATTATAATCATTTTAATGAGTTCGCTATATTACCATTCACTTGAAAAAGAACAAAAAAAACAACGGTGTCTCTTAGATATTGTTAAATACAATCGCGGATATTTTTTTTTTGTCTTATGTTTATTTTAACATAAATGAATGAACAACAAATATTTATGAAACTTTATGATATATCTAAAATTTATAATATTACAGTTTTACGTTTCATATATCGAATTATTAATCTATGAGGTACGATTATATATACGAAGTTTCACAGATAATCTATTTTCATGTTTTAATATAAACACTATTGATTTCTAGACAAATATATTTTACAAAGTTATCACATTGTAAATAATATTGATGTTGGATTATTAATCTTATCTTATCTGCAAATATTGAAGAAACTGTTGAACCCATACGTATTCTTTTTTCAAATAGAACGCATTATGTTTTTACTACTGAAATGAAACATTGTTATTAGCTTCTTGGAATAGCAATTAAATAACATTTATGTTTTTTTTTTTTTTTATTAAATAATTTTGTTTTTTATCGAACATTTAATCAGTAGTACGGATCCTATAACCTAATAGAAACAACGAAGAAAATTAAATAAGTTCCATTACAAAAACAACGACTGAAATATTATTTATTATCTGATAACACTTTTTAACTATCATTTTATTAATTTTAAAGTTCTTTTTATTTTTTTACTTATTAAAATTTGTTACGAAAAGGAACAGTCGAACTTCGACATTTTTATACGTATATGTACATATCTGTTTTACATATCTGTTTTAAACAGCTGAATAAATTGATTGAAAATTTATGAGTACTCGTCACGAGGATTTACGAAAAATTTTGATTTAATCCGACTACGAATTTTTCAAACTAATAAGAATTACAAAAGTTCCAAAATTTAATAAAAATCATATACGTGATATAAAAATATTTTTCAACATTTTATAAATATTTTTAAAGAGCAATATTGACTATATTGGTCATACTTATAACAAAAAAGTTGTTCTGAAACAAACAAAATTTTACCTGTAAACTCCAACATCTAGGATCACGTTATTTGGATCATTTTCGTCGTTCAATGTAAATGGTACTTTCGGATGATTCATGTTGTAAGGCTTGCCACTTGGACTGAACAATTTTGGCACAAATTTATGTGCTTTTGTTTTTTCGTTTTCCAAAATTTCACGTTTCTTTTCTTCCGATTTTAACGAACGTTCTGCAATCGCAACGCGATCTTCCGGTGTGTGATAACTCGTTTGTTTCCAAAATCTTTCATTTTCCGTTTCTTCATCTTCCTTCAATGATTAATTAAAAATTTTACAAAAAATAGTACTATTTGTACTTTGGGGGGGGGAGTAGATTCGTTAATAATTCAAATATAAAAGTACTTCAAAGATTTTAATCTAAAACTATGAAACATATTGCACTATGGTATATCACAAATGAAACATTGTATTAAAATTTAAAGCAAATAGATATAAAAAATAATGTCCTAATGAGAAAAAGGGTTCAAACTTACGTCTTCCTTTATTTCCCTAATCTTAACTTCTTCTTTTTCACGATGTCGTCTTATTTGAGCATCTCTTATCTTTTTGTAATTCTCATAACTTCTGATAACGTCTCCCTTTACTCTAGCGTATACTTGCAAAGCTTTTATTCGTTCTGATCTTAAAATTTCAATCATGTCAAGTTCTTTCAATTGAGGTAACGTTGAAATGACATATTCTCTGTATCCTTCGTAATCCGTACACGGATTTCCTGTCAGCATCAGTTGTTCCAAATTCTCGTTATATCTGGGACACCATAAACATTTCGTCTTTTTCAATATTTCCTAAAGTATTCCAATTGAAGATAACAACAAATTACTTCTTTTTTTTCATTAATATTCTCATCCTTTCGTTCATATTAAAAATGAATTGAATACCTTAAATTTTTGATACTTCTTAAGTCTCCTATAAAGTTCACCGTGAGATCCAACTTCTTCAAACTTTCTAAACCCTGTAAGTTCTCGATTATTTCGATATTGTTTAATGCAAGATTTAAGTATTCCAATCTCTTCAACATATTGAGATTCTCGATTTTCGGTATAATGTTGTATTGAAGAAGTAAAATCTTTAAGTTTCTGCAAACTTTATTTATTAGCTCAATTTTATCGATGTTTTCCTGATGCAACGATATTTCTTCCAGAGTTGATATCTCTCCCTCGTTATGTTCTGAACGCTTACGTAACAATTCCATAGTGATTCGTACCATCTTATTTTGCAAAATATTATATTTCTTTTCTTTCTGTCGTTTTATAAAGAAAATACAACTTTTGTTCGTAACACGTTAGTGTAACACTACCGTTATCGCACTTTGTTTTGGTTGCTATGTAAATATCGATTTAATAAAATCATTCAGATAACTACTGATTGGCTGTTTTTTAATCATTTTAAATTCTTATATTAACATTTTTTTATAAACTTGAATATTTATTAATCGTGTTAGCTCGTAAAACAGAAAGTTGCTTTTAAGTAAACATTATTAATATGAATAAATGTATTTATGTTTTAGGATTTTATCTTAGAACACTATAGCGAAGATGGGGAGAATTATGAAGAAGCTATTGCTGAACTTATGGAGATCAGACAGGTAAGAAAAAAAGAAATTGAAACATGTTTAAATATATTTATGATATGTATATGTACAAAATTATATAATATTTCTAGAAAATTTATCTTTTGCATATACATAGAATTCACTTATCATATGAGTTAAAAATACGAAAATGAAATACAACAAAAATTATTTTTGATATTAATTAATATATTTCAATATTGAATTTGTTTAGGCAACAAGAACACCGACAAGAGATGCAGCAGGTATAGCCTTGCTTTTGCGTTACTATAATCAACTATACTTCATCGAAAGACGATTCTTTCCACCTGAAAGAAGTCTTGGTATACATTTCGAATGGTTCGATTCTTTGACTGGTGTACCAAGTCGTCAACGTACTGTTGCCTTTGAAAAAGCATCGATTTTATTCAATGCTGGTGCACTTTACACCCAGTTAGCTGCTAAACAAGACAGACATTCTACTCGAGGCTTGGATCAAGCTGTTGATGCTTTTCTTAGAGCAGCTGGAACTTTTCGATATATTCACGAAAACTTTACCAATGCACCTAGCATGGATCTTGGACCTGATATGCTTGAAATGCTCGTCCAATTGATGCTGGTACGTTTATTATTATTATTTTATAGACATGATTACAGAAATTATTATATGTGATCTTACATAATTAATGCGTGTATGTAGTCGTATGCAAGATTTGCTTAACTATGATCAAAAAATTGGTGTTGAATCGAATTCATAATTTTATACAGATTTTTTATTATATACCGTTTCTACCAAAAATATTTCAAATATTTTTATATTAACGATATAATTAAATCGGTTTTATAGAATACATAATTACGTATAATAACATAATGTAATATGTGTATTATAATTATACTATAATTTTTTTGCGGAATGTGAAAATATTTTGACAAGATGTAAGATTGTTTCTCCTTACTCGTTAGTATTCAGCATATATTTAAATTTTTGTATTTCAGGCACAAGCGAGGGAATGTTTGTTCGAGAAACTGGAACTTCAATCTAGAGAAGGGAGAACGATCGACATTTCTTTGGACTTAGCTCAAGAAGCTGCACAAGTAAATTTTAACAATAATATATTAATATGAATGAATTAATAATTAACTAAAAATTGATATCTATATATATCCCTGTTTAATGTGTGTGTTTAAGGTTGCTACGGTTTACAATGACGTTCACGGTTTGATATCTCGTGAACCAGTTCGCGATTATGTCCCAGAAACTTGGATCTCTTTGATATTGGTCAAACGCGAACATCATTTGGCACTTGCTCACAAACATCTCGCAGCTGGTTTACTCGATAGACCAATCGCGGATTTTCGAGTTGAGACGAAACTCACGCTCGAACATATTCAAAAGAGTGATGGGAAAACGCAATTGGAAGTAACCGTACCTAGAGATGACAACGAAAGAAAACTTTTAGGTATGTCAACTATATACGTTATTATTTTTTTCTAAGAACAATCGACAATCATTTATTTGACTGTTTTACAAGTAACGCCGGTTATAGCCGGCATCCATAAAATGTCTCACGCTAGCTAATGCCGACTAGTATTCTTGATTTTCAAAATTGTAATTCCTAGCTCTAAATTATCATTTCAGTAAACAGATATATACATATATACTTAATAGCTATAGATGCCTTAATACATATATGAAGAAACGATACAAAATGTCTCCCAATAACATAATATTTCATTATTTTTTTCTCTGAACAGGGAAAGCACATTTAAGGGAAGCTTTGGTTTTGCACGAGGAAAGCCAACGGCTGCAAAGAATGTGCAGAGAATTAAAAGGAAAACAAGCGCTGGCTAAGGTCTTGAAAAAAGGACACGAAGCCACGCACGATATGTATAATAAAATTGGGGATGAAGATGATTTTCGGGAACTATTAGATCCTCCAGATATCATTGGTAAATATAAAAAATAAAATATCTCATTATTATACTTAATTGTTCTATAAAAATAGTATTATGGTATGTAAATAATGTAATGACAATATTAAATTTAGCATCAACAAAGTTTCAATTGAGCATCACTCATCCAGATTTTGGTCAACACGGGGTGGAAGATTTGTTTAGATCGTTGGGACCTGTCGCTATATTTTCAGCAAAAAGGCATTGGACTGCACCAAGGAATGTTCAACTTCAAAGAGGGCCCGATGGTGAAGGTTTTGGATTTAGTGTGCGTGGTGATTCTCCAGTAATTATAGCTGCTGTTGATCATAATTCTTTAGCTGAAGTAAGTAACACTAAAATTTTTAAGTTTTTAATTTTGATCTTCAAAACTTCATTATGATTCTTTTTTATCAGATCGCTGGTATGAAGGAAGGTGACTTTATAGTTGGTATCGGTGACAAGGACGTCAAATGGGCTTCTCATGAACAAGCTGTGAGATTGATAAAACAATGTGGTGACTTTATTAACCTAAGACTGGTCACACCTATGGATAGAAATTATATGAAGGTAAGACAAGAAAATTACAAATTATGAGGGTAAAATCAATTATTATTCGCAATGTAATGGTATTTTTTGTTTTGGACTGTACTGTATAATATTTGGTTTTCCAGAAGAAAATGAATCTTTTGTAACCCCCTTAAGAGAAAATAAATAAATTAATCCTATTATTACTTGACAGTATACCCAACACAATAAAAATATAATTAAATTATGGATTATATTATTGACTTAATATTGCAACTTAATCTCAACCAAGTTATCAACATTGACGTCATCCGCGATGATGATTATTCTTTAACTGATATATAAATTCGCAGTAACATAATCATTTTAGAAACCCGGAAAACCGAACCAACATGATAAAGGAAGCGTTTCGGCGAGCAGTTCTTCAGGAGTGTCTTCTGGTCAACCCAGTCCCGCTGGCTCGGTAACAACAGCTCATGTCACAAGGAGACTACCTTGGAATCCTTTCAAGAAATCGGTTAATCAACGTGACAGCAGGGATCTTACTTTTGATAACGTCATCTTGAGATGATTGTTGAAAGACAAGAATTTCCCTGTAAAGGTACGTCGTCATAAGACACAACTTTTTGTTGCTTGTCTCGCATCCGGTATTAAACTACCATCGTGTAAAATTCGAATAGAATGATTAATCGGTAGATTAAATCGTATCGAATCTTTATAAAAATGTATATATATTTATACATTTATTTGTATGTATACATATATAACATATCTTTATCATCCATTTTTTTTTTGTTTTTACATTACGAACTTTCGCATTTTTCTAAACGTGTTTTCGTTACTGACTCGATGGATTTGTAGATATTATAATTATCGTTAAGAGTGAAGTAAAAGAATTAACACGTTAGCAAAATGTGGACGTGATATGATAATATTCGTTAAAAGTGTAAAATTTGTCAGTTTTCTTTTTAACGATCATACGTGTCGTTTTAAGCGTTTACAGTAAATACGTATGTATATTAAATCGTAATTATAATTTAATGTATAGATATATCTGTTATGAAGATAATAGGTATATATACCGTATATACAGAGTGTCTCGAAAGTCGTCTCACAGAACTGAAAAATAATACAATTTATTATCTAATAAAAATGTGCGTGTCTACGGTGTTTTCATTTTTCAGGGTTGCGTTAGGATTATGTCAGGATTATTTTCTTGGTAAAACGACTTTTGTGTAACACCTTGTAAAATCACGCCAATGTTCGTCATTTCACGCAATCGTAGATTTAATATATACTTAAACATTACCTTCTCATTTGTCCAATGATTACAATTAATTAATTGTATCTAAATTGTATCAACGATAATGTACATAAAGAAAGAAAGAGAGAGAGAGAGAGAGAGAGAGAGAGAGAGAGAGAGAGAGAGAGAGAGANAGAGAGAGAGAGAGAGTAAGAAAGTAATGTTATATAATTCAACGTGTTCCCATGAATATTCTATCTCTTAAGTTAGAAATATCATCGTTCACGTAGAAAGACAGTCGTAATGAGCAAACATCGTATTAAAAACATAATATTTGAATTATCATTGGATCGTAAAATCCCCCTATTTTTATAAATTTTCTATTTGTGCTTTCTTACGTACTGTAATAACCGAATAAAAATATCTTCGATTAACGAATGTACATATATGCTATTTCTTATCCTTAATAAATATATATATTTAATTATAATTAATTATAATAAAAATTAACAAAAGTGGATACATTCAGTACAATTCGTCGAGGCAAGATTTGATTTCTTTTCCTAGTATTGTTAAACACCAGATATGTGTTCAACATATATCTTACGAAACCATTTAATGTTATCATTCACCATGAACAACTTCTTTATAATGCTATTATATTTTTTATTAATCTTAAAGAAGCTGATATTAAACTCATAACAATGGTCCTATGACCTAAGGACGACCTCTGTGAAGAAAACGACTATGACTTCGTAGTGTTGCAGGTGAAGATTTTCGGTCTATAAAGAAGTACAGGTAACCCCCGAAAAACACGGTACTTGAAGAATACGAATACCTTCTCTCGAATTACAACTACACGATTTTCGAGTAATCCTTTTGAAAAAGAATAAAATATATATATTATATTTTGATATATATAAAATAAAATATAAATTAATATAAATAATTAATTTGAATGATCTAATACAAGATTTCTTAGAAGTGTTTATCAATATGAATTCAAACAATAAAAATTTTTAGTTTTATATTTAACCAAAAGAAAAAATGTAAAATGTGTAATATTCATTTTTTTATTTGCACACTTGAAATGGAATTCCGTATTTTGTAATCTCGAACAACATGATTTCAAAAAAAACACGGAACCAATCAATCGTTTTCTTTGAAGGTTACCTGTACACGTATATGTATTATATGTATATCTTTATCTTTTTTATTTCGACTTCCTTTGATGACTTTCTTCTGGTTTTCGAAACATACGGATACATCAATTATTATTATTATTTAGTCGTGATTGGTCCTTATCATATACTATATCTGGATTAAAATCTGCATACGATTCGTGGAGACCATCTATCGTTCGGTTGAATACTAATTACTATACATATGAATATACTAAATTCAGACGTGCATTTCAAATAGGAAGGATACGTGTCCCGTAAAATAAAAAATTGTTAAATACATAGCTGAAGTAGGTATATACGTAACTCATTCTACATTCACAAAATTAGATAAAATATTATTCCGATTACCGATGTTTAGATACTGTATAAGTAAGATTTAAGTAAAAATACTTAAGTAAAAATACAGTTGATTCTTTATTTTCATCATACATAGTTCTATAGTATTGTATGCATAATGTATACGTTTATTTAAGAGATTAAGATTGCGTAAAGGTTGCATCAAACAATACGTGCCGAGGAAAATAATATAATCAAATCGGCACATTATTGTTCGAAGAAGCATTCGCTCAGGTAAAAGACGAACAAACGGTTTCGAATGGTTTTCCTTTGTTGAGTAATTTTAGGCCGGAAAAAGATAGAGATCTGACATTTTTTAAATTATGCAATTTTTTAATCATGTAAACTGTTTTGTTTTTTAACTCTTATCGGAAGTCAGTCACGTATCTCATGACAATGGTATTTTAATATTACGCTCGTTTGTCACTTTTACGTGAAAATTAAAAAACAATAGGAAATGACAAAAATTAATAAAGAGAAAAATGATTTATGTTATTGTATATATAGTATGTGTTACCGGCAATGTACGAAAATCCAGCATTCTGCAGAATGCCTAGTCTATATATACAGCTTAAATATTCATATACAGCACACACACATATATATATATATATATATATACATATACATATATGAGTAAAAGGAACTGAAGGAGAAATTGTATCTTAAGTATAACACGTAAGAAATTCGACACGTCCTTTGCTCATTCGAGACCTTATCAAGGTAAAAGGAATAAAACTTAACAGAAAGAAAGAGAAAGAGAGAAAATCCGTGAAAGACATTGGTAGTTGAAACGACAGTTTTCGAGGGCAATGTACTTTCGTTTCATCGAACACCAAAGAAGGCTTTTTAGGGTCAGTGGAGAAAGTCTAGCAGCTGTTGTGTTGCACCAGCACACACCACCATCGCTCCAATTCTGTACACTTGAATGCTCTTGGATGCAGTCACGTGCGATGTTTCATCTTCCCTCTCTTTTAAAGAAAGAGAAAGAAAGAAATTAATGCAGTATACAAAATGAAAAAAAGAGATATAGAATACAATTAGAGTTTTGTATATGTTACATCAAAAATAGGAAAAAATTTTAAATCGATTACGTAATAAATATTATTAAAATTCGGAGAGTTGATATGCAAGGTGATTATGGAAATCAAGGTAAGTTGTTTCTCTATTTTTTTTTTTAATAAAAATAGATAAAAATGATAGAGGAAATAATCATGTGCATAATACATTCTAACTTCTTATGACCTTATTTTTTGTCTATGTAAATGCATCGATACATCAGCCATGTGCAATTATAAGTTATTTTTTATAATGCTACTTGATTTTTTTTAAGTCTTTAAGAGATTCAATTCCGTCGTAGAATTGATTACTTGGCAAGTACATACAGGAATGTATGCAATACGTGTTTTTTTATCTAATTAAATAATGCACAGTAATTAAAAACTTCTTCATATTATAAAGTGTGTGCGTAGATAGATAATAAATAGATATATAGAGTTATCAATATTAAAGATATAAATAGCGAGGTATCAGTCACGCTCTATTTCCATAATAAATCGAAGTTGTGTCCTTTTTATTTTTATTTCTCTCTCTTTCTCTCCCTCTCCTTTTCTCTTTCCAGGTTCGTTCCGATTGCGTATGTACTATTGTCATAATTAATTAACAATTTGTTCAAATTATCAAATCAATTTTATTCTATTGCATTCTACTTTTATTATTATTATTATTATTATTATTATTGTTACTGATGTTATTTATAATTGTTTATTTACTTATTGTTATATTTATTCATTCATAGTCTGTTGGTCAAGTAAATGGTCATGGTTTTACAAAATATAACAGATATTATTTTATATTAATTATATAACAATGTAAATTAATAACATTTTAACTAGATTTACAAAACTTTGGTTAAATATTTTTGTTTTACTCGATTCACTTTATTTTTTATCATTCCTGCTATGCATACTCTTTTCTATTTTTTCAATTGTATTTCTTAAATACTTATTGTTAATTGTTTCCTAATTCCATTCTTTCGTTTAGTATTTCGGTATTCAACCTTTTTCTTTTACGAGCCGCAGATTGACACTGGTTGAAAATTAATGACTAAAAAAAAAATGGTAGACATGACTAGGCCTCCAAAAGCAAATTTAAAAGTTTTTTAAGTCAAGGTTGAATAGTTGAATATATATTCTCTAAAAAATATTTTAAATAACAAAATTTACATCATTTTTATATTCGTATCAATCTGTTTTAACCTTATGTAAATCATCTTATTAGAATTTTGACTCGTGTTGCATAAAAAGAAAAGACAAATTTTATTATATAAGTATTATATATAAGTATATATTTAATTAATATTCAATTTAAGTAAAATATTGAAGTTTTCAATTTTATTTGTTATTTTATTTAAATTATATAATGATGTAGAATATTGTTACTAACATTGATTAATTAATGATTTAGAAATGACGTAGGACTACGTCACCAATAGTCAGTTGTTGAATTTAAAATGATGTAGGACTACGTGACCAGTCTCAAATGCATTGAGTTTATAGTATGACTAATTTCGAAGAGGAAAGCGTATTAACTCAGAATTAACTAAAATCGATACACGTGGAAAGGAGAGAGCCTTGTTAACTTTCGCTGACTTAATATTACGTATCACGCACAATTGGTTATGCAATTAATTTCTTTTTACGATTAAGATAATATCAAAATTAAATATTTATTATTGAAAAAAAAACGTTCCAAATTTATAGAAATATAACGAGATAAAACATTTTAATGACTTATGAAATTAAATCAATTGTCGTTATATATATAGAATACTTGTTTTATAATACTAATTTAAATAGAAAATTTTTGAATAAATATTTAGCAGCCGACCTAATCCCAAAAAAAGGGAATATTCGAATTGAAATTTTGTTGAAAATTAATATTGTTCGATAGGGACGCTATAAACTAGACGATGTCGTGACAGTTCACGTTCGAAGGAAATCTAGTTTTTCTTCGCCATTTTAGTTCTAGCTATCTAACTAGGACCTTTCACCGTATGCCGAGAAAGACTATTTTATGAGATACAAGAAACTGTAAAAAGGAAATTCTTTATTCGTTCGCAAAAGAACACCCAAAACGACAGTACCGTTAATGTTTTTATTTAATACCAAAAAAAAACAAAATATTTACTGCTTTTGTATATATTTTAAATTCTCTCCCGATCAAGGTATAAACTTTTATTACGTTTATTTTTAAAATGAAAAAAATAATATGTTATTTTAGAGATATTCAAATTTAAATATAAATTATCGATACGTTATTAACATTGAAAAAATTCGACAAATTGTTTATGACTTTTCGTCTTTTATTTCGATAAACTTGTGTCCATTAGTAATTCTATAGTTATTTAAATATTATTTTACAAATGAATATACGAAATTTTAATATTGTGGACGTTTCTAATATCTTGTCAAGTATTCACAAGGTTTCGAAGATCTTTTTAATATCAAATGGCGTTTCTAATACATATACAAAACTCATGTAGAATTCTGTAACAAAACGTTTTCTGGCACACCACCAAACCTTACATAAAATTATTTCTTTTTCTTAGACACACAAGATTAAGTAATAGTTTGAAAATGTATATATATATAATAGTTAAATATGTTCTCTTGAAAAAAACATAATCTTATAAAAGCGTGAATAATTCGTGTGAAAAATAGTAAATCTGATTAATTTTTGTTCGAAAGTTTAAACGATTTTATCTGATTTTATCGTTAAAGAAATAAAATTATACGATAAAAGAAAGTACATAATATTTATAGATATGTTTCACGAAGTTTTCTTAAAAAGGGGTTACCCTGGGTTTTACCAAGAGCTAGTAAAATGTGTGTTCGTAAATTATTTACGCGCTTCGAGAAAATAAAAAAAGAATAAAATAAAAAATGGCCTTGATATTCGTCGGACTGAACGAAAGTTCGCTCGTGGAGAAAGCAAAATGAAAGATTACGAGAAGAAAGTGAATCTTTCCGTGCGAGAATGGTTTCGTGATAATTCGTTGTAAGTAATACAAACGTTTTTCGTCTATTTTCTATTTTTTCTTCATATCTTTAGCTTTTTAAATAAATTCAAATGAAACGATTGTTAAGGATAAAATCAAAAACTTCAAGATTTAATCATTATTTCGTTGTAAACGAAGCATGGCGAACGTTTCTAATAATATATCTTTAGTACAGTTTATTTAATTAATTTTTTCTTTTTTTTTTTTTTTTAACTATGTATAGTAGGCCCTTGATTAACCGAGCCTTCGATTAATAAAATAGTATATATTAAAACACATTTATTATATACACTTATACACTTGTTTTTTTTTCAAGCGTTTATTTTAATTACGTTCCAACATGTAACCATGCCACGATATGCATATATTAAGTATATAACTGCAATAATATTGAAATAATTTCTGATTTATTACATGATAAATACTCTTTTTATACGATTAAACATTTTGTCATAACAAAACATTGTTATTCATCTATGACGAGTATTTTTATATATCACATCTAACTAATTATTAAACGGTTTCTTTGATTTTCTGCTTGTTTATCAAAATTCAAGATAAATTTAAATGCATTCGCGTTATTCAAATTCGTATTATTACTGTATATTTTTTTATTTCTTTCAGTATTTTTGTTTTAGTATTACGTCTGGAATATCCAAGATTATAAAAATATTATAATATCAAAAATAATTCTAATAGGAAAAGAAGTTATAATTCCATTAGAAAAAGCACAAAGTTGAAAATTTACGAAGAATAGATTAATTTAATTATTATATAAAATATATTAATATATTAAATTTAATTATGGTTAATTTTAATGAAAGAGCCTATCTATACAATAATAGAATTGAAAGAAAATACTGAAGAAAACAAACAAATAAATCAAGAGTAAAGTACTGTAATTTTTAATCGGGCTCAATAATATCTAGATTAACGTCATAATGTGAAACAATATTTATTCGGGGAAAAAATGTTTATAAATGCAAAATAAATGATATAGAGAAATATATAGCTAGATAATAACAGAAGAACATTTTAATTTGCATAGGTACGCATAAAATATGTTAAAAACTTTTATTTTATAGTTATAATTAGATATTCGTTGAATTTCCGTAGTCACTTTAATTATTTAAAATCTTATTGCGATTCACGTAAAATATAATAGATATGATATTAACAAAAAAACATTATGATTACATATTAGGTTAATATTTACTAGTTTGACTAACGATTTAAATTGTATGTAATTAAAATTGTAATGAAATTCAATTGATATAGTTGCGTTACCATTGCGTCAGAATATATTTTACATAATTTATGATAAATCTAGTAATGTAAAAAAATATATTTATATGTTAATAAATAATAAAAGGCAAAGTTGACGTTACGGCAGACGTACGTATGACGTGCCTCGACAATTTGTTTGCAATTTGATTATATGTTTTTTTTTTAATTAGGGGATAATTGTTTTCCAATGTGGTGCCAGTTTTATGCACAAGAATTGTCGAATTGGCTGTTTCTCTAGCCATTTTATCCGATTGTTCGTTTTCTTCGATACTTATGTGGGTTTTATTTTTTCATTGAATGTTGTATTTTGATACCAAGTTGCCTTTCTCTTAAAGGTGTTGTTTCTTTTAGAAGGGGTTGGTTGTAGCTTGCTTAGTAACGTACTAAGCTATCGGCTTTTGAGAGAGTAGCAGAGATTTTAGTTGCGAATTTTGCACTTGAGTACTTCTTTCGGATGTTTAAGAGTAGTTTCATTGCTTTACTAAGTATGCCGTTGATTGGACTAATGCGAAATACACCGACTGTTATGCTGAGAACACTATTGTACAATGTATCGAATATTTTTAACGGATTGGTGCTTGCAGAGTTGTAAATGATGGACCTTTAATCTATCTTGGTTGTTATTAATTGCTCTGTAAGTTAATAGATGGGTTTTCCGATTTGCACTTCAGTTATCGTTTTAAGTATGTTGAGCCATTGATTGCAGTCATTGTGAACTTATTTATATGGGGTCTCCACGACAGCAAATTATTATTAACATCAAAAAGGGTTGATCTTAGTATCCATATTAATTAGACATTTTTTACTTGTCTCGATGAATATTATAAGCCCCTTCAAATAACGAACATTTATTTTTTTGTCATCCTGTATTTATATGTTACCGTTAATGTATATAATTCAGTTAATTCATAAAAACCCTAGGTCTTATAATAAATTAATTATACGTTTTAGAGAGAAAGTATATAAAAAGAATTTGATTATACTCTTAAACTAGTTGGTCTCTTAGAAAATAATTAGATAAAATATTGATTCATAAGAGGCGAGTAGTTAAGGCATGAGATTGAAATTTTTCTGTCGGTCATTATAGTTTGTTTTTCTTTTCAGAACAATGCTCATTGTTATTCGTTCTTATCTCTCTACTTGTACTATTATAAAATTTGCTTGTTTCGTTGATTAGTAGAACGTTTCGAAATTCGTGTTCGAGTGTGTTTTAAAATTATAAAGGAAAAAAAAAATAAATAAAGAATAATATAACGCATATAGGTGAAGATCCTGTGAACGCGATGAGCAGTGGTAGTAAGTGCAGTCGTGGATCCCTCCTTAAATTGATCTGCCGAGTAAGTAAGCAGGTTACTTCGGTTTTAGTGACTCAACGGTCAACACCTCTCTCTTCGTCGATTCAGACGAACGAACGAACGAACTGCGGTCTTCCTGCTTTTCTCTTGAGATAGTTACACGTTCGGTTATTTTATTTCTCTTACGTATGTATATATTTTGTTTCTTTTTTTTTTTTTATATTAATCTGAAAATTTGTAAATACAAAGAAGTCTAATTTTTTTTATTTTTTAATCAATCATAATTAAAAAAAATAAAAATATATATATATATATATGCAATAAAAAGAAAGTGAGAGAAAATCGAAGTCAAAAATAATATTGCAAAAAAAGTGAAAGAAGTGATTAGGGAAAGAGTTTTAAACGATTGTTATTGAAATTAATTAATTCATTAAAATATTTCAATTATCACACGTGTTTCAACAATATTACAAAATTCAAGACAGAGAAACTTCCTCGGCTGTTTGGAATTTTCTATCATTTTAAAAGATCGAGTAAGTATGATTTGGATCTTTTGACGTAAAAGTATCTTCGAGATTTGATAGTTTTTATATCGAATTTCTTTTGCACTTGAAATCCTTACGAGAATACTTAATGCTAGTTAACACGCAATATCATACTTTCTTGCATTTTAATTTGACGTAAACATTTCTTAGATATTTTAATTTCATTAATAACATACAGTTTCATTATTGTGAAATATCTAAACCCCGTTACTTTGTATTCTTGATATATTCATTAATTTACTTAATTACCTTATAATTTAAAAATCATTTATTAACATAATACAATTTTTATATCGAATTTGGAATTCAAATAATGATTAAAAATTTGTATCAAAGCGTTTATTAATAAACGTACACGCGTTTCTAAACTCGAATAATATTCTTTGTTCGCTTTCTATGAAAGAGCTTCTTCGATTTGAACGTGTAAAATGAATATACAGACGTTACCCATACCTTTCAAACATCACATCGTTTCAAATAGAAAGCTGAAGCCTCATGGTATGTACCATCGTTCATACATGTATAGATTGTATATATATATACACACGGTCAGAAACTCTCATTCGTACTTTCCGTAGTCATATCACTTTCATTCTCGTCTAATACCACGTGTGTCCTAGATAAACCTGGTTCCGTTCTATATTGTATCCGTGTTTTTTTTTTTAATTAACATTTTAATCTAAAAACATTAGACAGAATTTGTTTTCTTTTTCGAATTTTGATTAAACTTTTAAATGATCACATCTCTATCCTTATTTCTTGTCCTCTTTATCTAATGGTAAGTATTTTTATTTGATTTTATTTTTTCGCACCTATAAAGAAGAAATCAAGGACAAGAGATAATTTAAAAAAATAAATATATGTGAATCTTCTTTTTATAGAAACTATGTTGTGCTTAAACTTCATACGTTATGTAAAACTATTCGATCTGAATACGAAAGATTTTTTTAAGTTAATAACTTAATTATATACTTCTCTTTTATCTACTCGATCATTTTCCAATGTTATAGTTTTTTATAGTTCTTCTTGCGCATTAGTAAAAACAATTATCAGTTTCAGCCATTTCAAGTCAAAGTTCCATTTGGTAACATTTATTAATCGTAAGAAATTTTATTAAATCTATTTTCTTATTCAAAAAATCGACTTAGTCATTTAATCCACCTTTTTTTTCTGTCGTTAACAAAAATAGTAAAGTTGATAAATTGTAAGTATTAGAATTCAAAAGTTGTATAGAGGTTTCATTTAAATGTAAATATTATTTACATTTATTTTTTTAATACAAAATTTATTGACTTCCTCTTTCGATAAAGAAAAATGATATTGTTGGACAAAGAAAATAAATGGTCTTGTTTTCTTCAATTTTATAAAAAATCTCTATTAGTATTTTTCTATTAGCATTTCATATCACTATCTAGATCGTATCTAGCATTTCAATATCGATCACGCATTTCGATGTATCTTTTTTTATCAAGAGAATAAGAATATAATAACGCGTGGAAAAAAATAGAAATATTATACTTCCATGTTTCTTCCATTCGAAATAAATATTTCTGCGAAATGAATTATCCTATTCTTATTTTATTCTTTAAAGGAAAATTTTTGAGATTAATAAAAAAAAAGAAAAAGATAAAAAATTAATATCTTTGATATGTGATTTTGTGTAAATAGAAATATTAAACCAATTACATATATGTATCTTAATCAATCTATTATTTTATTTTTGTAAATTAATTTTCGTGGGGAAGGGGGGGGGTGAATATAATTAAAAAAGAAAAAAAAATGCAAAAGAAAAGTAACTAAAAGAAATTAAAAATAATTGACATTATTTGCATTATCATCGTGCATCGTATAAATCATTCGAAGCGCAGCAAAAATGAAAATTATTTCATGAAAAAAAATTGAAATTAATTCGTTTCCATTAAATTATACAATGATTTACAAAGATCTCGCGTAAAGCTTAAACGATATGATAATTATTTTACAGAAATAAGGATCGACATTATAAATATGGATGGACAAGAACATAATTATAAGTGCACTTTAAGTGAGGAAACAAAAAAAATTGCCAAGGATGAACTTCGCGAGGATGAAACAATTCGAGAACAATTGTTGGAACAATTTAGAGATTGGATTAAAAAGCATCCGTTAATAAAATATTGCAAAACGGATTCAGCCTTTCTTCTTAGATTTCTAAGAACAAAAAAGTTTAGTTTACCATTAGCACAAAAATTACTCGAAAGATACCTCACCATAAGACAACTTTATCCGACATGGTTTCAAAATATTGTAATCGATGACCAAATTACTAATAGTGTCCTAGACACCGGCTATATCTTACCTTTATTCAAACGAGATAAATACGGTAGACAAGTCATATTATTTAATTCAGGTAAATCATCTAAATTTTTTTAATCTTGTAATTCTCTTTTTTAAACTGAATTTTCGTGACAATAAAAAATCTCTATATAATATTAAATCAACTAACATTAATCTTTAAATACCAATTAATGATGAACTATGTTCAATAATTATGAAAGTGGACTAATTGTAAATCAATAAATTTAACAAAATTGATTTTATGAATTTTTTTTTAGATTAAAATAATTCATATTGTAAAATAAATCAATTCAAGCTAGAATCGAATAGTCAATGTAACGAATGTTAATGGTTAGTAAAGGGAGAGATTATAGAAAAAAACGCACCATATTACAGACAAAAATGTAATTAAACAGAATTAAATCTCGATATATCTTTACGTAACTTTAAAATCACATTAGACTATAAGGATAAAGAAACAAGATATTACTTATCAGTTATCAGATATTTTGTATCTATTCTCGTTAGCTAATTATGTTAAACATTATATTTAAATACTTTTGATATTCAAAATAAAATGAGAAATTTTATTAAATTATTTCAAATTATATTGATTATCTCTTAAAATCTCATTAAAAAATGATCTTGAAATCTCGTAAAAAAAATGATTTTCAAAATAAATCTTTCGATCGTGTATTCTTTAAAATAATGTATTATAGCTTTATCTTGAGAATTTTTTTTATAAATTCATAAATAACAACAATGAATGTAATAAACATGGAAAAATTGTAAATTATCTTAAATTTCCAAGCAAGATAAAGAATTCGCATTTACTTTATCATTGATTCATTAAAATTCACCTCGGACATCGTATTTCCTGTTTTTTTTGTTTAAGAACGTATCGACTCATACAAGTATAAGTCTGAGCAATTAGTAAAGGCCCATAGCCTCGTCATGGAAGCCCTTCTGGACGATGAAGAAAATCAAGTTCGCGGATTTACCTACATAATAAATGAATCCGGCATAAACATGGGTCATATTAGCATGTGGTCTCTTATTGATGTCCGTAAATTGTTGAATTGTGTACAAAATGGTATGCCCATGAGACACAAGAGAACTTATATAGTCAATATACCATCGTATGCTGTCAAGTTTTTCGAGCTTTGTATAGCTTATCTTAACGAGAAATTAAAAAAGCGTTGTTCGGTAAGAAAAAGTGTTAATTGTTTCGACTAACTTATATAAAAAAAAAATACGAATATTAACAAACATATTATATAATGAACACTATAAAAAAAAAGTTAATTCTTTTAAACTTTTGTAAAATAACCATCCCAAAGTTTTCTTTTATAATGAATTTAATTGATCTGTAGAATGAGTTTATAAACCTTTTAATATCTTTTTAGCATTATTCTGAAAAAATAACATATAATGAAACATGAATATATAAATAATAAATAATTTTATTTTCATTATTTCTTTATAGATACATACGAGTATCGAGGAATTGAAAGATGATATCGATATCAAGTCCCTGCCAGTGGAATATGGAGGTGAAGTTTCTATAAAGGAACTGATTGGTACACATTTTTTTTTTCTTTTTCTTTTTCAATCCCATTTTTTACGAATAATGCATGAAATAATTGATTTTTTTTCTATGTTGCTTATCTCCTAACAGATTCTCTTAAGAAAACTATATATGAGAAGAACGAGCAAATAGAGGATTTAAAAAACCTACGAATAGACATTTCTGAGAATCAGTCTTATAGTAACGAAATTGATGGTGTTATCGGTTCCTTCCGTAAGTTAGAAGTGGATTAAGACATCTCTTATATTTTTATATGAATAATTTAGTTTCTTTATTTGTATGCATACGAAACGTATGCGTTTACGATTAAATGTTTAACTCATTGTTGTTAATATTTGTTTAGAGTTTACGTTTTCATATTTTATATATCAATTTATATAAATATTTTTTTTTTATTCTAATGTTATTTTGTTCTTGTTAATATAATTTAAACAAACGTTGAAAAAGTAAAGTTATATTTCAACATGTTAATATATTAAATTTTGTTAATAATTTATTTTTAATATCCAGAGTGAGACGCCTATAACTATATCACCTAAATAATTTTTTTTGCTTACAACCGTATCAAAAAACTTCAAAAGAAAAAGTTGTACTATTGCAGAGGGGTAATCTAATGATGAAAAAATTTGTTCTTAAGATCATTTTCTTTACAAGATTTGATGATCAACTTTGTTTTCACAAATGAAACTATATTTTGTTTGCGATATTCTTGTAGAACATGAAAAAACGAATAAAAATGATTTTTATGATCGATTATTCCGATCATTTATTCTCGGGATATTTACATCTAAAGATAATTTCCTGTAATAATGCAACTTTTGCCTTGGAGGTCTATAAGTACGATTTAAACAAGGAAGATATTTAGGTGATACAGTTAGGTGCCTTATCTTGTATATAAACATAGTGTACCGAATGGACCCTTAGAATACAATTTTTAGAAGACCTTGACTTTTATAATTTCATCTAATAGTAGATATATTATTTAAAGTAAAAATGATGATAATTATAGTACATATACATAACATAAATACGTGTACCATTTAATCTTTATCACTATATGCGAATAATGGAGCTCCTCCGCCGGTGGTTCAAGTTACCTTCTTTTTTAATTATAATTATAAATATTTCTTGCTATATTAATATGAAAGTTTTTAAGATTACGTCCGAATATAATAATTTTAAAAATAGATTTTTAAGAATAGATTTTAAGTTTTGTTAGGATATGTTGTAGTATCTAATTTGTTTGTAATTAATTGAAATATATTTACATATTTATACTTAATCGCACACATATTTACGAATATATATATTTATAGATCTATTTATTTAATAATTCAATGTTTGTTGCGTTTGTTCTAATGTTTGTGCAGATAACAATATAAACAAAATAGTTTAATTTTTAATTAAAAACAAAATAAAATAAAACAAATATTAAGGATCGTTTGTTAAAAGGTCATAATACGTTTATAATGAACAAAAATTAAATGTTCTTGGCTTGCATTGCTTCATAAAAATTCAATAATTATGCTCCTTTTATAAATTAAAATATTATACATCATAGGTTGGCGAATTATGTACAATATAATAATTCTTAATAAACATTACAATATATAACTGCTTTTTTTTTTTAACCATGTATTTTATAGAGAAACTAAGAAACAGAAGAAAGAGATATGAAATTGAAGCATACGTTTACTTAAGTTCTGCGTTAATGTTGCTCATAATTTCCTTCAAAAATTCTGTGCTTGCTGGAGCTGTTGTATATAAGCTACCTGAAGAGTGCAATGTATAGTATAAAATTTTTAATATTATAAGACACTTATAATTTTTACACACATACATTATATATCAAAATAAAAATATATAATTCTTACAATAAAAATAAACAACCTTACCTATAAAATTTGATACGCTACTATCAAAAGTAATAATTTTGCAATTATTTTTATCTGCTATTTTAAAACCCAGGCATCTAAACCGTTCATCTGTTGTATAAAGGGAATTCTTTTTCAGAGAACTAAAGTAAGGTTGCCCACTAAACGGGTTAATAAAATCCGCCCAATATCCAACCATTTTTAGTCTTGTACAAACGTCTGATGCGGCTAATACAAACTGCAATGAAATGTATTAACGAGAAACGATTACTCGTATTTTGTTATTTTATAAACTTGTAACATTCTATTTCAGGGATGGTAAATAATTTCTTTTGTAGCCAAATTTAGGACAGAAAATATTTTCTATAGCAAGTGCGCACATGTAAAACTCACTTTAGCATTCAATCACAAATTTCATAGAAAGTACATATTTATTATATGAATATAATAAATATTATACACTTTGTACATAGGAACTGACCTGAGAAAAAAATAACAAAATATTCCATCATATTTTGATACGTAGATCAGATTCTATTTGCCATCCATGTTCTATTTGATAAAATAAATTGAACAGTTGAAAAAATACTATTACTTACATATTTCGCCAATTTCTCAGTTTCTGCTATTTTACCCCACCTTAATGTTTTCGGATTAGATTTTTGACTTATAGTCACAATAGTTAATTGCGCTGCACTCACATCCAAGCAGCCAGGAAACAGTTCTTCAATGCCCTTCCTTAATAGAAGCGGACATTCTTGGGCAGTACAATGCAGCAATGGTCGTTTGATATATGATGATTTACCTTTTAATCTTTTATACTTATTTTTGTTATTTATAGAATTAACAGAATCAGTCTCGGTAATAGCGACAAATTCTGTTTTGACTTGTTTAGTAGTAGATGAATTTAACCAACCAGGACCAATACTACCTGGTAAGTAAAATCTGAATCCTCTCGGTGTCAACAATTCCCAGTTGTTACTAGTTTCAAATTCACCATTATCAGTACCTAAAACAATTTGCCTAATAATGCAATATCTATCATAGATTAATTACTACATATAAGAATAAATTGAATATAACTATAAGCACATTATTCCAGTTTACCATCAATGGAATCTCCATTTGCATTGATGATTTTATAAAGTGTTGTACTGTTGTCACTGCTACGTCGAGAATAGAAGGCTTGACAGGCAACATTAAAATATTTCTGATTATACCTTCTTCCCACGAAATTTATACAAAACATCTGAAACGAATGACACAGCTCTCTTTAGTTTGATGTTTTCACAAGGTCGACTATTTTTGTAGAATTTCGTCGCAATTTAATTAAATATTTTTAGGGCATATAAACACAAAGAGCATTTAATATTTGTCACAAGTAACATTTAATTACCATTGAAAAGCAATTTACATGCTGGAGATACAACTCGTTAAATAAAAACAATATGTTAACTAATTGTGAGAATTATCTGTCTTTATTTTCAGTCGAACTCAAACTTTCTGTATAGACTTACACATATATATATATAAATATCATATTCCCTTGTCAATGAACCGAACTTAGCAATCAGTAATGCCAAATATACATCAATAATTTTCAAATGTAGAAGTTACCAATCCTGTTATTCTTACGCAAATAGAATGTGGCATCTCCTAGGGACATAAGAAAAGTTCCTAGTAACTCCTATAGGGATTTTGGGAAAGTCCGCAGTTCCGACATGGAAGACTGTCAGAAAGTGTATAGTTGCTGTCTCTAAGTAATAAAGTTTCACGTCAATAATCATTTATAAATGATTCAATAACAAGATATACTTCTATATATGTATTTTTCTATCTTCAACAAAAACAAAGGGAAGATAAGCATCAATGCAGGCTTTCTAACTAAAGAAACTTTTCAAATGTGATATTTGCAATTTATCATTATGTGTAGATCATTTTAAAAAAAGATTATGGTAATTAACAAAAAATTAAAATTAATTAATTAAAATCTTGTAATATTGTTATCGAATTATAGTTATTCTTGTATTATACGCGTTGTTATAAGATTTTCATAAAAATATGATTATATGAATTTTGTTCTTATTTTAGCATACTTGTGAAACAATCACTGAAATTATACTCACATATTTTGAAACATTCTATATATTATAACGCGATGTGGGATTAATTTATTTTTAATATATATGTTACCGTGAAAGATTCAAATTGGAGAATGTTAAGATTCACATGATCGCTTGGTGTATGTCCTAAATATTAATGTATAAGAATGAACCCAAATATTCGGTCTTTCACCGACATATTTGGTATGCGTTGACAAGTGACCATATAAACCTTGACATACACCAATATAAATTTTTCATGGTAAACATATATATATATATATAAATTGTTCTTTAAAAAATAAGATAATCGTAATAGTAGGAGAGTAAAATTTAACTGACGCTTTATTTGTCGCTTATTATACATATTATCTTCTGTTTTACACGATTTCTTTTTGAAATATTTATTAATCCGCTATCGACAATATATATACGCAAGAAGCCTAACAATAATATAATAACGGCAACGCAAAATATCGTATTTGCACGATGAAATTGTATTTTATTTCCTTTTTTTTCTCTCTCTCTCTCTCTTTCTTTTATTTGCATTGCAAGGTGCGCTGCGCTCATTAAAAAATTTGTTTAACAAATATATTTTTTATTTGGGAGAAGAAAAAAGGTTGTCTACGATGATTGCCGACAATATCCGGTATAAAAAGAAATATTTCTTTGAATTCGGCGATTGATTAGACCTATCTCAGGATGACACCATAAGAGCGAATGTGTTTATCGCGTTTTGCAATTTTAAAATGATCAAACATTTGCCTAAATATATCTGTTCGTGGTTGCTGTAAAGCGATATACAAGAGATATTAAACGTTTATATCCGTTTATTTCATTCGACGAATTACGATACTCGAATTAACGTACATATTTGTCCACTTACTTTTACGATTATTTTATAAACCTAAACGAGAGAGAGACAACCAAATGCGTCTCTAATCGTTTATTATTATTTGTTTTTTCTTTTCTATTTTGAAACGACGGTATCCCTTTTATTGTTACTAAATCATCTTCTGAATTCTTCTCCTTAATCTTTTTCTTTTTGTTAATCTTCTTATGAAAATTTGTTAAGCATTTTTATTTAAACAATTTATCATATTTGTTCGATATTTGAAAGGACGATAAGTCTTATCCGGTGTGACGAAATATCTTGCGCAACGCAACCAAAACACATTTGCGATTATTATTATTATTATTATTATTATTATTATTATTAATATTCGATCGAATTCTCGATCTGTCAGTTTTTTTTTTCTTTTTTTATTCTTATTGTTTCCTTATATTTTTTATTTGTTTAAAAATGATTACATCACACGTAAGTAAGTAATTAAGTATTGCGCACTGTATCGTCGTAGCGTACAACTAGATTATATTTTTTTTATTTATATTGTTTATTTTCGTTATATTCGAAATATTAGTACAAATACATTTATGGAAAGGGACGAGAAAAATCAATCGATTTGTGAATGATATACCCCCACACCTTATTACAATATATAGATATTATAATAATAACATCGATTTTTAAGAAATTGCCTAATCGCTAGGCTATGGTCCGCATATATCCGTTTTTTCTTTTCTTTATTTATTTGTATTTACGTGTATTCATGTATATATTAATATTGTGTTTTCATACACAAATATCTGCGCGCGTGTGTTTATCGTGTATGTAGGTGTTATCGTATGTGTGTTTTAATGCATATGTTTTATTCACGTTTTCGTCGTGTAATCCGACGTTTTGCGCTTCTGAAAATTCTCTAAAGCACTTAATCTATTTTATTATTTATTTCTTTTTTTTTTTTTTCTGTTTTTGTTTAAATATACGACAAACGTATTTCGACGTTAAGTTACAACTTACGTATCTCTAAGATAAAATCGACATGTATGTATAACATATATGTATATGTATACATACCATATCGTAATAAATATATATGTATACATATATATACATATATATATATATTTATTATAAATTCAAGGTATTAACCCTTTTGCATATATTAATTATTTTATTTTAACAAACGTGCGTTTTTCTTGGAACAAAACCCGATTAGCGATCACGTATAATAAATTCGCACACTTTCCTAGGTGGACGGAAAATCAATGAACAGTATCTTTAGAAAATCCTTACTTATTATTTTTCTCTTTTCCTCTCACTCTCCCTCCCTCTCTCTCTCTCTCTCTCTCTCTCTCTCTCTATTTTTATATTTTTCTTTATTCGTTCCTTTTTTTCTTTCTTGGTTAATAAAAATTCTTCCATATTGCACTTCAGAAAGATTGATTAATTTTTTTTTTTATTCTCATGCTCGTGTACTTCCCTTTTGTAGTAGATTATAATTAATATATATAAGCATTTTCGAGAAAATATAATTCTCGAGTCTTCGAAAAAATATCAGAAAGGAGCATAAGCTCGAAAACGCATAAAATGACGAACCCTATCTATGTATTATACATTTCCCGCTTCTCTTTTTTTCCCCCACGACGTTGTAAATTATACGATAAATAATCAAGAGATAGCGGGTCACGCGAATATCAAAACAGAAATTAGCTTTTGACATGAACGTGTTAATGTCCAGTGATTTTCAAATCCTTTTCAAAAGAGAAAACTCATCTCTATATACTGATAACAATATTATTGGTATATCAATAATATAATATTCCTAAAACAATTAATTATTTATCATTTGTAACAATTATTTTATATATTTTGTTGTATTAGAATTGTAATTTTCCATTAGAATAAATAAAAATTAATTGCACACACACTTGGATAATATATTATTATAATAAATAATTATTGGAATTCGATAAATAAATATAGTACAATGTTAAACAGAAATATCTAAATTGTTTGTTGAAAATAAACGATGGAATGTTATATTATCGGTCCATAAAATCTTTAGAAAAAAAGTGTTTCGTAATCCTCTTGGGTTTAGGAGGGAGCAATAGAGTTTGAAAACCACTATCTTGTTCCAACGAGGTAGTCGAAGAAGCAAAAGCAGGACAGGTTCTAGACCGCGTCCCGCCGGAGGCTGGATTTTAACTATTGCCAGGAACAAAGTAAACTAAACTAATCGTAAGTCCCTTTGCTGCTATTTCGTTGATTTCCTCGTGTTTTTGAGGTCCAAGAAAATAATATTAAAATAAAAATAAAAATAAAACAAATAAAACAAAAATAAAATAGCAACGAAAAAACAATAAAAAAAAAAAAAACAGATCTCGTATGTCAAATAAAACTCGTCCCTTTTTCTTTTTGCCTCTTTGTGTGTTACTTTATGAATTATCCTTGTTTAATACACACGTCCAACGATAAACAACAAATTAGGATCCGCTGATCGGGCTTTTTATTTTTTAGCGTAAAACGCCGCGTTTCTTGGTGTACCTGGTGATAGTACACAAAAGTATATTATATTCAAGTTTAATAATAATATACTATTATTATTATAATTATATAGTATATCGTATTAACTTCTTCTCCCATTAACTTTTTTTAAATAGTCTTCGCAGCAATGGCTTTTTCGTAGCCTTTAATTAATCAGTCACACCGCGTTTCGGACTCGTTTAATTAATTAAGTATTAATTCGTGCTTTGCTTTTTGATCGAAGCCCCGCGCAGGAAGACTCAAGAAATCTCTTTATATTCTATATATAAATATTCTCTCTTTCTATTTTTTTTTTTTCTTTCTTTTTTTTTTTCTTTTCCTTCTCTTTTACTCACATAATACAATGATAAATTTTAAACGATTTAACAATATTTCAAATATACGTACAATTTCCTAGTTACTTTTTCTTTTCATTTTCATTCGTCAATACAACGTATGTGCAGATCAATGGAGAATAATAACACGCTCGTTTTCCTATTTCAATTCACTCGAAAGACGATCTTATTAATTCTTATCAAAGTTCTTTTTAACAAACGATTTTCAAATTCTTTTCCCTTTTTTCGGTTTTTTTTTTCTTTTTTTTTCGCGTAATCACCTAAATGTAGGTTAATTCGCTACCTTGATAATAAATTTCATTCCATCAAAACGGTCATCTTTTTTTATTGTCAAGTAATTCGACAATTGTTTAAAAGATGGACCAGAGCCCTTGAAAATAATGGGAGATCATTTCGAAGAAAAACAGATATGTCACAATGTGAACTTTATAAATAAATAATAAATTTGTTAAAAAGGTACACCGAATTATAATTGCTATACATAACAGTATCTCTCTCTCTCTCTCTCTCTCTTTTTTTCCTATTTTTTTCTCTCAATCTTTTTTTTTTTCTTTTTTATTTTCCTCTCTTCATCGAGTACGTACTTATTGCTTTTTGATTTTGAACGATTTAGTCGATATCAAACGTGTATGCCCATCATCTTTGCCACTACTATCATCACCATCATTAATAATACCAATCTCTCGTGTTTTTACTCTTATTGCTTTTCAAATTTGTGCTCGAT